CTAAAGCAAATGCGCCTCTTAAAATTCCAGGCTTTTATGGATTGTGAATGGGTGGTTCCTCATTTGTTTGGAGTCTTGAGTTATTTGGAGGATTTTTGAAAGCTGTGAACACACGGTATTGCATGGACTTGCAAGGATTTTTCTCCCTCTGAACTTCCCGAAACTCATTCGTGAATCCATGGAGAGCCACCGACTTCAGATTGAGAAATTGTGTTCTAAGAGGATTTATCTCAAGTAATAGCTGATGAATATTTACAAAGCCAAGTTAGACTAGTAGAGACTATGACAGTGTTAGGTTAGCGTTTTAATTTTTTCTTTGTTAGAGGACAGTCATTTTTAATCATACCCTGTAAAATAACTCAATTTTTTGCCCTAAATGAAAATTTCTCTGTGATTTTCTTGAACTGGGTTTCCCTGCATAGCATGAAGTCTAGATACAGACATAATGAGAATTGTAAAATTGGTGTGCCTCAGTTTTCATACAAAGTATTTTTAAAATTTATATTAAAAATTAAAATATCTTGAAAGCTGTGTAAAGGAATTTGGTTTTATGCCCTTTGTCAGTAACGGTGATTGGTTATCTTTTTTCTTTCATACTTTTCTTAATATTGAGTCCTTGTATTATAGGTAATAGATTTAATTTAGTTTAGTTTAGTTCCAATATTTGTAGAGTACATCTATTAGTAATGCCTAGCTATCTGTTTGAGTAAGGTGGGTCAAATTAAGCAGGTTGCAAAATTCTAAAAGCAACATTAATTTTAAATAATATTTAACTTTTAAACTCCATGCCCTGTAGCATTCCAGGCTGCTCTACACAGAACACTGGGAGCAGGGCCCTGTAACCATTGGAAATCGCTGTGTTCCCCCCTGGAATGAGTCCGCGGGGGTGCAGGGCCTTCCCTACCTGCCGGGAGTGTCTCGTCCATGCTGGGTGCTCAGTCCTTTTCACTCTCCAAAGCAGAGCAGGCAGAGCTTTTGAGAATTTGAAAGGAAGCCCAAAACACTTGACATAAAAACATTTTAAAGAGTAATTGGTATTAACACTTCTGAAGATAAAAAGTACTAAGCAAGGGATAAATGTAAGAAAGTGAAAAACTTCCTTGACCTCCATTTAGCTAATTTTGGTGCCTGGCCCTCGTGTGCTTGGTGCTGCAAATGTGAATAAGAGAACACCTGACCTTGCAGGGAGACCCGCCTGTAAACCGCCAATTAAAAAAGTAGTGTGTAGTGGGTGGTGTGGCAACACAGAGGCTACAGCGTCGCCTGGAGTGAGGGGGAGGGGGAGGAGGCTTGCCAGAGAATGGAGTGCTCAGGTGAGGTATGAGTGCGCTTCTGGCCAGGAGACCACCTGCAGAGAGGGCTGAAGGGTTGGGATGGCAGTGGTTTAGGGAGGGTGGAGAGCCCCATGGAAGGGGCTGCTGTGGAGGTCTGACTGGTGAGGAGTAGAGGGGGCTCGTGAAGCTCTATGTGAACCGGAAAGAGCAGGCAGTTGGGGAGGAGGGTCCAGTTCCTGGTGCGGAGGGCCAGTCGAAGAGGTCTGAGCCACAGAAATAGATTTGGGCATTATCCACCTATAGCCGTTATTATCCCTTTATAAGGGGTGGTGAAGCTGTGGCTCTGGGTTCATGTCCTGGGGCAGATCCCAGGGCCTCACCCACTTCCCACGGGAGCCATGCTTAAGCTGGACCAGTGGGAGAGGAGAGAAGAGTCGGGACTGTGGTGTCTTTAAGGAAGAACAAGGTGTCCAGGAGGGGAGGCAGCCTTACACGCTTTGAAATGGTCTAACTGATGACAGAAGGATTGAGAAATGTCTCCAAAATAGACATTCTAAACTGACTCAAGATGAAGTTAAGGGGACGGGCCCCGTGGCGTAGCGGTTAAGTGTGCGCGCTCCGCTGCTGGTGGCCCAGGTTCGGATCCTGGGCGCTCACCGACGCACCGCTTGTCAGGCCATGCTGTGGCGGCGTCCCATATAAAGTGGAGGAAGATGGGCACAGATGTTAGCCCAGGGCCAGTCTTCCTCAGCAAAAAGAGGAGCTTTGGCATGGATGTTAGCTTAGGGCTGATCTTCCTCACAAAAAAAAAAAAAAGGAGAAATTAAAAAGGAAAAAACTGAATAAACTAATAACCGTGGAATGATTTGACAAGGTTGTCAGAAGGCACTAACCACCCAGAAGGCACCTTAAGGAATGGATAATTCCTTTCTGCACCATTCCATAGCATAGAATGGCGCTTCCTGGTGTGTTTTGAGGAGCAACGTCATCCTAAAGCCAAAATGAGATAAGGTGTTTATTTGAGATGCACAGGAAAGAAAAGGGCCCGTGGGGTTTGGCAGCTCGTGGGTCATCACTGATCTTCGAGGTCTGTTTTGGTGGCGACAACGCCTGGTGTGTGAGCCGAGGACTGACCCAGATGTTCACACATTGTCTAGGAAGAGACCGAGAACAGGAGTTTAGCAAGGGTTTAAATATCTTTTTTCTCCTTTTTAAACAGCAACCTAAGCACGTGAATACAAAGAAGAATAATTACTTAGGTCACCATTTAAACTCAGTATTTTGGCATTTTCATGCAGTCTTTTTTTATATGTATTTTTTTAGTAGCAGGAGTCACACCTCACATACATGTTTTTCATCTAGAACTCTCATAACTGCATTATCATGCTACAACATAGTTTCATAGTCACATTTAATGGCCTTCTGATTTCATGGAATGGCTACATCATAATTTATATAGCAGCTCCCCAGTTGTAGGATATTTTGGTTTATTCCTCTGTCGTTTTTTCTTTTGTTATAAATAAGGCCGTGATTCGTGAAGGCAGCTTTCCTGTGTATATGCTTATTTCCTGAGGCTAGTACTCAAAAGTAAGATCTCCTGGTGCAAAGGTATAAACTTTCTTTGTTTCTTTAATGAGTAATGAATATAGTAAGGCTTTATTTTAACTTCTCCCGTTTCTTGCTTACTTGCCAATTTTATTTATTTATTGCTATCTTTTCTATCATAGTTTCCTCCTCTCTTTGAAGAGGGTTATGCTTTTATGGAATCATACCTTCTTAACGGGAATTTCTTGCTGGGGGTGAGATTTTGGAGACTAGTCAATAAACATTAGTTAAACCTCTACTGTGTACCAGAGGATGGCAATGAGAAGATGTCTAGGAGTAGATCCTAACCGCAGGGCCTTCCCAAGCTCACAAAATTGCCAGCCCTGGGACAGGAGGGTGTTTGTATTTGCACTCTGTCTTTCCCCAGCACCTGGAAGCACCTAAGAGTGATACTGAACCTCTTAATCTCAAGTTCACGTGTCTGATGTGCAGTAAACCAATCACTGAGACATTGGTGCTTGGAGATGGAGAGAGGTTTATTCGAACTGGCCAAAATGAGAAGGCAGGAGGATAGGTTCTCTCAAATCGCCCTCAACAAGAGAAGAAAGCTGGGGGTTTTATAGAGCCAAGTGGCGTGGGAGGAGGAGTTTCAGAGAAACAAAGGGGAAATCCATGTCTTTCACTCCGGATAAGCCCTTGGGCAATCTGACTCCTGGGCGTCAGCAGCAGCTAGGGGCTGGTTATCTGTTGATTGTAACTTCCTTGAAGGCATTCTTTTTCTTCTGTAAAACAAGCTCATAAATCCTTGTGACCCCTGAGTCACTCCTCAGGTTAAAGAGGAAAACAGCAAATTAACAAGATTAACTTCTTTTCATCAGTGTCTGTTTTGGGAACAAGGTTGAAGGGTAATCGTGTTCTTTTTTTGTGTGCGTGGGGAAGATCAGCTCTGAGCTAACATCTGATGCCAGTCCTCCTCTTTTTGCTGAGGAAGGTTGGCCCTGGGCTAATGTCCGTGGCCTATCTTCCTCTGCTTTACATGGGAAGTGGTGTGTTGGTGCTCGCCCAGGATCCAAACCTGTGAACCCCGGGCTGCCGAAGCAGAGCATGTGCACTTAACTGCTACACCACCGGGCTGGCCCTGGTAATCATGTTCTTATTGAATATTTACAGTAACCCTCAGGTACCCAGCTTCAGGAGCACCTGGCCCTTAGGAGGTGTTCAGCATTTGGAGAGTGACTACATAAGGGCCAAATAGGCATGTGTATAAAACGTTAGGACCTTCATTCGCAACAAAGGTTTCTTTTTGAAGTAACCCTCTGTTCAGTCACTTAAAGTGGCTGCTCATGGTCTAGTATTAGGTTTTTACGGTCATCCATGGTAAAACTTCACTGTTGCAGCTGGGCTGATTCATACACGTTTTTTTTTTTTTTTTAAAGGATATTTTAATTTTATTTATTTATTTATTTTTTCCCCCAAAGCCCCAGTAGATAGTTGTATGTCATAGCTGCACGTCCTTCTAGTTGCTGTATGTGGGACGCGGCCTCAGCATGGCCGGAGAAGCGGTGCGTCGGTGTGCGCCGGGGATCCGAACCCGGGCCGCCAGCAGTGGAGCAAGCGCACTTAACTGCTAAGCCACGGGGCCGGCCCCATACACATTTATTGAACGCCAGCTGTATGCATGATAACCCGCCGTCCAGGTGTCTGTGATCAAGGAGGCCGACAGCAGACAAGAAGCCGTAAGACAAGGGAGATGTGGTAGTGCTGAGAAAGGGTGGACTCCAGCTGAAGTTAAGCCTCGATGTCAGGCCGTGACTGAACTTCTCTGGGTTTTGGTGTCAGCGAGATTGAAAGGAAGAGGAGAAGAGGTTGGAATGAACCCTGGGATCTCTTTCAGGCACGCAGTCCTTTGATTCTTGTGACTGGCTTTTCCTCAAACAAAGGTTGGGGGCATGCTCTTTATCAACACACATCCAGTTGAACGCCAAACCTCAAAAGAGATGTTCCAAATTTAGAGGGCTATATAGCATCGTGTCTCACTTATTTATTAGTAGGACTTAATACTTTAAAAGTGTGCGTTTTATTGTCTTCATGAGCTGTAATTTAGTTTTCTTAGTGAACTTTAAATATTGGTTAAAAATTAAAATTGTATTAGTTGGAATCCTTGAATGTCATGAACTTAAATATTGACTTTTCTTCTTTCCCTTACAGCTGTTTGGGGCAACTTCGTTAATATGAGGTAATTGTTTTTGATAACTTGGATATCGTGGTTGGGTTTTATAGACACATTTCAGTAGTTACATATGCACCATTGATGTCATGTGTTAACTGAAGAATATTTTAAAAATGAAACGGAGCGTTTTGCTGTTCACACATCTGGGTGTGTCTTTCCTCCTAGGAATGTTCTTGAGGAATGGAGCTGATTTTAGCATTTACCCAAGTAAAGCCCAGATGTACAGACAAATCTTGAAGCAGCAATGGTCGGCTCCTCTGTGTTGCCCACCTCAGGGTCCCTTCCCTCCTTTTGTGGACAATAGAGGACTGACCCTGGCTTTCACCCCACTAAGGTGTAAATGGCACTCTGGGTGGCTCGAGCAAGCACAAAGGGGTGCAGGTTTCCAAAGCCTTTTGCAAGGGGAGCTGTGTGAGGGAAGCCGTGGCCGCCTGGCCGCGGGGAGCAGGCCAGTGGATGCTGAGGTGCCTGTCTGTCTTGGGGTAGGCCCGAGGAGCCTTCCGGCCTGAGTGTGCATTATCTATGCTGCTTAATAGGGCAGGAGAGACACTTGTAAAAGTAAAATCCTTGTGTTAATATTCTAAAAAAAAGAAATAAAAAAGTAATAAGCATTCATTGAAAAAACAAACGTGGTGGTGTTAGTCCAGTTTTACGTTTAAAGAAAAGTTTGCTCCACTTTGTATTTCCTGGTAGTGAAAATAAACTAAGAACAATCACGACTGTGGTGATTGGGTTGGATTTGGAAGTTTAATGCTGCTGCACGAGGCCGCAGGGGAGAGGGTCGCTGTGCCCCCAGCAGGCTTTGTACATGGACTTGGTTTTGCAAGGCCCGTGGGGCATGTTGACCTGATTCCTACCAGCGGGGTGTGTGTGTGTCTCCTGACAAAGGCTTCTGTGTGTGGCTTGGTGGGGTGCTCAGATCCCGTTGAAAGGAGCTCTGTTTTTTTGACTTGGAAAAACTCCGTTTTGTGTTAAATCCCCCGAAAGCTCAGCAGACAGACTTGTACTCCTGTAGACACACTTCCTGCTTCTGATTTAAAATCCCACGTTGGGTGTAACGTGGAAGTGGGATTGTTTTAGTTTAATAGAAACGACCCTTAAGTAGTGGGCCGGTGAGATGGATCTGAGGAGCTCTCCTCTCCCCGTTGTCTGGTGGTCCTGTGGAGCACCCGCTTCTGGAGGGAACTGCTACACACGCCCGACGCTTGGGAAGGAGAGGGGATGGTCTGTAGCCTTTGGTTTGGTTTGTGTGTTAGAGATAAATCTTGAAGTCCTAAAGCCTTTCACCTGGTCTCAGTTTTGTAGCTTTCTTCTCAACAGGTCTATCCAGGAACATGATGAACTAAAAATTGAAAGCAAGATTGAAGAGGTTAGTCTCTTTTCCATATTTTGCTTCTATTTTTTCTGTGTTTGTCAACTTCAGTTCCTTTGCTTGTGCTGGTATCTTTATTGTGGCAGCTTGATGCTGATCTGTGATTTTGAAACCATCTCTCAAATTATTCCCTTATTTAAGAGGAGACTTTGTTTATTAGACTGTGGATGCATCTCTGTCAGCGTTTGTCCATTTTGTAAGGGTGTGATGTATTAAAACAGATTCTAACCTAAAAGTGAAATGGATTTAAACTTTTACGTGACCTTTCTAATGAGCCTTTCCAGAATTACTTAGAGAAAGGGAGTTGATTACCTTTACCAGGGATGGAGGCAAGTGCCAGCGTGCGCTCACCTGAGCAGATGCTGAGAGGGAAAGGACCCCACTCAGATGCTAGGACTGAAGGAACATAAAGAGTGTGTGTGTGTGCACAGACGGGGAAGTCACACACCTACTCACTGGAAGCCAGCTCCTCTGGGTCATGATACACCTTCTATTTTAAAATAATTGCTTATGTTTTCATCAAATAAATATAGCTATAGATGGACTGTTGTCACGTGGGCTGTAGCGGGGCATGGGGAGTTCTTCATTTTGATTGGAAGCCGCATGCTAGAGTCATGGGGAGGCCCTTGGATTGCTCTTGTCCTTCTGTCTGAGCTCATGGTGTCAACACACATGCATGTGGGTTGACTCACAGCCTGTAATTCACGTGCTGGTGCTGATAACATGGAGATAATATGTAGAAACATGGTGATAAACTATTGTGGGCACCACCTAGGAGATTCTTTAGTTCTTGAAAAAAAAACCAATGGTGTTGATCTGCCTGTTTTTATGAGCCTGAACCACCTTTAACATTGCTCATAGTAAGGTAGGAAAGAAAAAAGGTTAATTTTCTCAGGGATCCAGGCATCTGTGGCGTAAGAGTTCCAAATCACATTCTAGAATTGTGATTAACGAGGTTAATTTCATGCTTAATTTCATATTTTTTCATAATTATGAAAAATTAACTTTTCATAGTTAATATTTCATACCAAAATAACTTAATTTCAAACTGAAAGTGAATTGTAGAAGTAATTAAAATCTGTTTTGCATTATTTCATGCCTATTTGGAACATTAGAGTGGGGTGAAAGTGGTGGAAGATTGTGTTTTTGCTTTAAAACTGATTTTGGTTATTTTTGTTTTAGATTGTTGAACCACTAAGAGAGAAAATCAGAGATTTGGAAAAAAGGTACGTGTACTTTGTGTTTTGAGTTTAGGAAAATGCTTATCTCTTACTATTGACTTTAGAAGGTCAATATCTAATATCAAGTTCATCCCAACTGAGAAATATGTAAGGCATTCTTAAGACAAGAACTTTTCCATGAGAAGGTAAATTTTTCTCAAAAATTTGGATGCAGTGGTTTTTTTTGTTTTTTTTGTTTTGTTTTTGGAAGGAAGATCAGCTCTGAGCTAACATCTACCAATCCTCCTCTTTTTGCTGAGGAAGACTGGCCCTGGGCTAACATCCATGCCCATCCTCCTCCACTTTATGTGGGACGCTGCCATAGCATGGCCTGACAAGCGGTGTGTTGGTGCGCACCCGGGATCTGAACCCGGGCCGCCAGCAGCAGAGCATGCGCACTTAACTGCTATGCCACGGGTCTAGCCCCTGGATGCAGTGGCCCCTGGATGCAGTGTTTTTAAATCTTTTGTTTTTTGTTCTTTTGTCATTAAGAACTATTTTTTTTTTTTTTTTGTGAGGAAGATCAGCCCTGAGCTAACATCTGTGCTAATCCTCCTCTTTTTGCTGAGGAAGACTGGCCCTGGGCTAACATCCATGCCCATCCTCCTCCACTTTATGTGGGACGCGGCCTCAGCATGGCCGGAGAAGCGGTGCCTCGGTGCGCACCCGGGATCCGAACCTGGGCTGCCAGTAGCGGAGCACGCGCTTAACCGCTAAGCCATGGGGCCGGCCCAAGATCTATTTTTGATGAAAGCCTTGGATTCGCTCCAGAAAAAAATATTTATTTATCTTAATTAATTTATTTTTCCAAAGTCCTTCCTAAAGCCCGATGACAGATCTTATGTTAAAAGTCCTTCCTCTTATATCCTCTGTCAGTTTGGTTCTACAGACTATAATGACCTAATTAAATGTCCACATAAATGTGGTTGTTTTTCCCCATTTGAGTATGATAGTGACACGATCAGAACATCGGAAGAAGAAAAGAGCTAGGTTTGTTGAAATCTTCCTTTTCTAAACCCTGTGAATTTCTCAGTTCCTTATCTTCTTTTAATTTCTGTGCAGGGCAGTCACATGTTTCTAGCATATATTTATTAGTCTAAGAGAATTGTTTCTAAAACACAAAAACAATCTGGAGGGCCTAAAAGCTAGATCCCTATGTAAGTACTGTAAGAAATTATGGATATGGAGCCTGTGATATGTCACGTTTGGTCATTTGTTTGCTTTTGCACCAAACCACATCAGGAAGTTTTCAGAATTGAGTCCAGGTAAAGTGGCTAGGAGGGAAGAATTGTATAATATGGTGGAAACTTTTATGTGAATCAGATTCTGAAGAAAATTCCTCGTCAGCCTCTGTCTTGGTGGTTCCCCACTCCAGTCGTGGCTCTGTTCCACACATTCTCACTCTAAATTGAGCTTCGGGCACTGGAACATTTTCCTTGAGTGTATTTGGAAAACATTGTGTCTGGAGTAAAAACTGGATCTTTAGAAGTTTAAAACAGAAAAATGAAAACATTCATTAACGTTTATGTAATTTTTTTTCTTTTCCTGGGATGAGTTTGGATGATGTACATCAGCGTTGTATGAACCTTTTATCAAGTCCAGAATAGAAGGGAAGAGATGCAATGCAGTTTTTTTTTTTTTTTTTTTTTGATTTTGGTGTTTTCACTAAATGAGCAAAGAGAAAAAAGGATGGAGAAAATTCATCAGTTGAAACGTGTTCATTCACTTTCTTCCTGTCCTCAACAGTTTTTATGTCGTCATGCAAACTCTTAATGTTAACTGTTACTGGAGTAAAAGTTCTTAGTATTTTTAACAGATTCAGTTAGTAATATAAGGTTGTTTTTTGTGCTTTAAATTATTCTTGCCATGATTTGGTGCTGAAATTACACTGCTTGTAACATTTCATTGGCTAGGAGCCAGAAATTCTGCCTTCAATAAGACTGGCATAATTTGGGAGATTTTAATTAAAGCTTAAAAAAATTGTTTATGCTGGGAAGTAACCCACCACAGACTTTATGTTAGTCAAAGAAAAAAAAAAATCTGTCCACTGGCAATCATTTTCTTTAGAGAATAATAATATTAATTTATTTGTGAAAAGTGAATCAATTAGATAACTTCCCTGTAAGGCAATGGCTCACACACAAGATCTCTTGAAATATGAGGATTATATGATTCTCTTTGATACTTTTGTGATGTTCTTTGTGCTTTTTAAATCAGAAAGAGAAGCACAAGTATGAATATAATGTTAAAGAATTTAGCAGTAACTCATTCTTGTCAGACTGAGAGTTACCTTTAAAATAGGTGCAGAGGTTAAGCATTTGCTGCTTTGCTAGTTACTCATTCTAAAATGGTTCTGTCCTTCAGGTCGGGGAGAAATCAGGTGACAGAGGAGCCTGAGTTATTATTTTAGTTAGAAAGTCGGGTACGGACATGAGTTTGTAGTGGAAACAGGTAGAGCTCTGTCTAGTTTTATTTTTCCCGACAGATTATGTGATAAGAGTGATCAGACAGCCATCTTGACACTGGCAAGATAAGAACGTAACTGGAAATGTGATGTCTCGATGTGCTTGTCACTTGTGGGCAAAGTGGCCCCCAAGAAATAATGGTATTTTCCAAAGGTAAAGGTAATATTTATATAGGGAAAGAAATGGGGACAGTGCCATTCTAGAAACCTGAGTAAGTGGATTATGGGGGCTTTTTCCTCTTCCCTGCCACACCCCTATTTCTTAATAGTTTGATTACATGCCATTTGTTTAATTTCATCTTCATGCCTTTAAATAGATAGCAAGTAATGATGGTCATTTCAATTCTAAGTAAAAGTACTTCTTGCTGGCCCTTCTATTAAACAGTAAGGTTAGAGTCTGGAATGGCGTAAAGTAATTACTAAAGGATTAATTTTGGGAGGTAAGAAAAGATCTATTGGGGCCGGCCCAGTGGTGCAGCGGTTAAATGCACGCGCTCCACTGCAGAGGCCCGGGGTTCGCTGGTTCGGATCCCGGGCGCGCACCGACGCACCACTTGTCAAGCCATGCTATGGTGGCGTCCCATATAAAGTAGATGTAGATGGGCATGGATGTGAGCCCAGGGCCAGTCTTCCTCAGCCAAAAAAAAAGAGGAGGATTGGCATTGGATGTTAGCTCAGGGCTGGTCTTCCTCACACACACAAAAAAGATCCATTGTTCAATTCATACTGCCTCCCTTGTTTGCTTCTCTCTCTCACACTCAGAAGTGCAGAATGCAGGCTTGCTGCAGGCCTGTTTGCTGCTGTGTCCCCGGTGCGGGGCAGAGCATAGGTGCTCAGTCGAGCTCCCGAATAAATGAAGATGTGGATGAGCCAATACACTGGGTAGGATTTTCACCCCCTTCAGGCTTTCAGAGAAGCCCGTGCCTCTCCCTTGCCCACTCTGCCCAGTGCCGCGTGAGTGCAGGAGGGCCCGCCCGGAAGGGCTGAGCGGCCTGTTGAAGGCGAGGCCCAGCCAGCACCGACTCGCGCAGTCACGCCAGTCCCCGAGCTCTGTCGCCCAGGACTGCAGGAAGGTGGACAGGGAGAGGCGTGAGGGGAGGACCCTGGAGGAGCTTTCCCCGCTCACTCCTGCAGTGTCGTGCGCCTGAGGTCTCGGGGGAAGGGATGAGGGGCATCAGATGGTTTTTGTAAAGTTTAATAACTTGATCATACATATGAAATCTGTATGTTTTTTAAATTAAAGATTTAGCACACAGTAGAAGTAGATTTGTTAGTCCATTCTGCACATGTAACTGTGTCAGGCAATTATGTTTTTGCTTTAGTTTTTTTTCTTTTAACTGTATTTGTTGTAAGAAAACCGTTTGCTGTATTTTTCCTGGTGTAAGTAGCATATCAAATTTCATTGTAACCTCTCAGACAGGTGCTATTTTAAGCTAATAAGTTGGATTAAAGTTTGTTTCAGTGGCCAACTGGCATGCTCCCTCCTGGGATGCCCACGTCTTAGTCCCGTGCCTCTGCTCCTTGCCGAGTCCCTCTTCCTCCCTCCACTTTTCAGGTACTCAGCTATGATCCATTTAGCGACATTGTCTCTAAAACCAGGCAGTCGGGAGAGAGTGAACCTCCACAGTGAGTGAAGGAAGGTGACGAGCCAGAGACGGTGGCATCGTTTTCTGCCACAGCTTGGAAGAGAAGTGGGCCTTGTTGGCAGCAGTGGGCAGGTGGGGAAGGGGTCGGGCTGCAAGGAAGAGACGTTTCAGTTATGCCCTGGGTGTAGACTCGGGATTGAGGCCAGAGCGGTGGATGTGAGGCGCTCAGAGAGGAAAGGGGAAATTGGGGCAGCTGTGCGGGGTGCACACTGCCAGTGCTGAGGTATACTTTGCCATCCTCCAGCTGAGTAATCAAGGAAGTCCTCAGAATGACAAAAAGTGTCACTTTGCAAACAGGGCATCTGTCAGGCTCCCTCGAGGTCTCCAATTTTGCTCTGACTGAAGGCAGAACTTCCCCTGCTCCACGCAATGTAAGCACTTACCAGTAAGCACTTACCATGGGGGCCTGTGCTAGAGACAGTTGCTGCGCAGCCCTCCTGGGGAGGCGCTCCTGTTACCCCTTGACAGAGCCTGAAGCCCTGAGGTGCGCAGAGCGCTTGGGGTTTTGCTCCGGGGTCACAGAACTAACAAGGGAGAAGGTCAGGATTCTCACCCATTCCCTCGGACTCTCCCGCCTGCCTGGCTGTTTTTGTAGTCTGCAAGGGGAGCTTGGCTTTGTGAGAATCGGGCCGTTCTCAGTAGAGGAATTCATCTGCTTTGTAAAAGAAGCCCTCCTGCTCCAAGCTCCCGTTTAAGCATCTTCCACTCTTTCTGGAGATGAGAAGCACCTGCTTCAAGGGCTTCTGTCTGACGACCTGTCATCTTCTGTCATCTTGGGGACCATGGCCCCTTTACCAGGGGCAGGAGGCACTGAAAGATAAGGGGAGACCTGAGACTGGTCCAGAGCCGACTCTGAGAGACAGAGCGCTGGTGCCCAGTCATTTTGCCCGGGGATGCCAGTTGGGAAGGGCGTACTGGAATTGCGAAACTGCCCCGAATAGGGAAACAGGCTTAGTTCATATCTTCTTTTCTTACTTTTGCAAGGCACAGTCTCCTATGTTGGGTCAGTGACTGCTGCTTTCTTGCTCCAGACCCTGACGTAGCATCTTGAGAATCCTGCCCCTCCCTTATTTGTGATTGGCTGTGGCTGCTGGTCGCCTATACATTCTTCAGTTTTCCCTTCTCAGGGTGGAATCTCAGTCACATCCCTAGCTTGATTCTAAACCAGGAGGAGGTTAGGTGTTTCTTGAGTTCGGATGAGCCAGTGGTGGCTCAGTCCCTGCAGCACTCACTCGGAGCGGAGAGAAGGAGCAGACGGTAACAGTTCCAGGGGTTGGTGTTTGTCTTGATGGGAGGTGGAGAAAATGCTCACTTGAGATGTTTGACTTTTTCTTTTGTAATCTCTTCGTGTTATACAGCCTCACCCAGAAATACCCGCCAGTAAAATTTTTATCAGAAAAGGACCGTAAAAGAATTTTGGTAAGTTTGCACATCTAATTAATATTTGTAATATCAAGAAACTTGCTTTTTAAATAGAGTATAATTCACCTACCATTAAAATCCCCCTTATAGATTATACAATTCAGTGGTTTATAGTATGTTCACAAAGTTGTGTAACAGCACCACATTCTAATTCCAGAATATTTTCATCACCCTCAAAAAAGCCCTGTATTAGCAGTCATTTCCCCTTCCTCCAGCTCGTGGCAACCACTAAAACTACTTTCTGTCTCTATGGATTTGCCTGTTTTGAACATTTCATATGAGTGAAATGATATAATATGTAGTCTTTAGTGTCTTGATTTCTTAAACAGGTTCATCCACGCTGTAGCCTGAATCAGTACTTCATTCCTTCATGAATGGATGTACCACGTTTTGTTGATCCACCTATCAGTTGATGGACATTTGGGGTGGTTTCTGCTTTGAGGCTATTGTGAATAACGCTGCTATGAACATATGTGTGCAAGATTTTCTGTGGACACAGGTTTTCAGTTCTTTTGGGTATGTACCTAGGAGAGGAATTACTTAGGTCATGTGGTAAGCCTCTGTATAACGTTTTGAGGAAATGTGAAACTTTTCCAGAGCAGTGGTTTTTAAAACCTTTTCTGGTTCACAGACCACGTTGGTGATCCACTGGGGGCTTCCTTGGCTAGTGGTCTCTGTGTTAAACATCAGTATGTATTCACTGGTGAAAGAATCCCATTTAACCATTGTGCAGCAAAGTGTGTCCAAAGAGATTGGCACTATTGCATTTTTTAAAAATAACAGCTTTATTGAGATATAATTTACATACCATACAATTCACCCTCTAAAGTATACAATTATTAGTGTTTAGTACATTCACAAAGTTGTGCGATCATCACAAATTTTTGAACATTTTCATCACCCCAAAAAGAAACCCCATACCTATTAGCAGTCACTCTCCATTTTCCCCCAAGCCCCTCCACATCCCAAGCCCTAGGCTACCACTAACTTGTTTCTGTCTGTAGAGATTTGCCGATTCTGGATATTTCATATAGGTGGAATAATGCAATATTTGTCCTTTTGTGATTGGCTTCTTTCACTTAGCATGTTTTTAGGATTCATTCATATTGTAGCATGTATCAGTACTGATGTTTTTTATGCGTGTGTGAGGAAGATTAGTCCTGAGCTAATATCTGTTGCCAATCCTCCTCTTTTTGCTAAGGAAGATTTGCCCTGGGCTAACATCTGTGCCCATCTTCCTCTACTCTATGGATGCCGCCACAGCGTGGCTTCACAAGCAGTGCGTTGGTCTGCGCACGGGATCTGAACCCAGAAACCCTGGGCTGCCGAAGCAGAGCGTGCGAACCTAAGCACTACGCCACTGGGCCAGCCGCCAGTACTTCTTATCTTTTTATTACCAAGTAATATTCCATTGTATGGATAGACCACATTTTATTTATCGATTTATCGTATGGATCATATGGCAGCTCTGTGTTTAACCTTTTGAGGAACTGCCAGACTGTTTGCCATAGCAGCTGTACCATTTTACATTCCCATCAGCAGTGTATGAGGGTTCCAAATTCTCCACATCCTCACCAACACTTGTTATTATCTCTCTTTTTGTTGGTAGCCCCCCTGGTGGGTGTTAAGTGGTATCTCACTGTGGTTTTGATTTGAGTTTCCCTGATGGCTAATGATGTTGAGCATCTTTTCATGTGCTTATTGGTCATTTCTTTATCTTCTGTGAAGAAATGTCTATTCAGATACTAAGCCCATTTTTTTAATTGGGTTATTTTTCTTTTCATTATTGTGTTACATGAGCTCTTTGCCTGTTCTTGACACAAGTTTTTTATCATGTATATGATTTGCAAATATTTTCTCCCATTCTGTGGTTTGTCTTTTCACTTTCTTGATGGTGTTCTTTGAAGCACAAAAGTTTTTAATGTTGATGAAGTCTGTTTTTTTTCTTTAGTTCCTTGTACTTTGGTGTCATATTTAAGAAATCATTGCCTAATCCGAGGTCACAAAGATTTACCATGTTTCTTCTTAAGAATTTTATAGTTTTAGTTCTTATGTGTAGGTCTATGATTCATTTTGAGTTAATTTTTGTATATGGTGTTAGATAGGGGGCTTTCATCCTTTTGCATGTGGCTACCCAGTTGTCCAGCACCGTTGGCTGACAAGAATAATCATGCCCCATTGAATTGTCTTGGCGCCCTTGTTGAAAATCAGCTGACCATAAATGTAAATATTTATTTCTAGATTCTCATTTCTATTCCATTGTTTTCTATGTTTATTCGTATGCAAGTACCACACTTAATTACTGTAGCTTTTTTTTTTTTTTTTTTGTGAGGGAGATCAGCCCTGAGCTAACATCCGTGCTAATCCTCCTCTTTTTTTTTTTTTTGCTGAGGAAGACCAGCTCTGAGCTAACATCTGTTGCCTTGCCTCCTCCTTTTTTTTTCCCCCCAAAGCCCCAGTAGATAGTTGTATGTCATAGTTGCACATCCTTCTAGTTGCTGTATGTGGGACGCGGCCTCAGCATGGCCAGAGAAGCGGTGCGTTGGTGCGCGCCTGGGATCCGAACCCGGGCTGCCAGCAGCGGAGCGTGCGCACTTAACCGCTAAGCCACGGGGCCGGCCCTAATTACTGTAGCTTTGTAGGAAGTTTTAAAATTGGGAAGTGTGAGTACTCAAGCTTTGTTCTTTTTCAAGATAGTTTTGACTATTCTGGATCCCTTATAGTTCCTCGTGAATTTTAGGGTCAGCTTGTCAATTTCTCCAAAGAAGCTAGCTGAGACACTGATAGAGATTGCATTGAATCAGTAGATCAATTTGGACAGTATTGTCATCTCAACGATATTGTCTTCCAATCCTTGAACATGGGGTGTGTCTTTCCATTTGTTTAGGTCTTTACTAGTTTCTTTTAACATTTTTTTTATAGTTTTCAGAATACAAGTTTTACAGTTCTTTTCTTAAATTTATTCTAAGGTGTTTTATCCATTTTTGATGCTAGCTTAAAGGGAAATGTTTTGTTTCATTTTTGTGTATTGCAAATAAATAGACATGCAGTTGGTTTTTGTATTTTCTTATGTCCTGCAGCATTGCTGAACTCCTTGGTTAGTTCTAATAGTTCTAAGTGGATTCCTCAGGTGTTTCTATGTACGAGATCATGTCATCTGCAATTATAGGTGGTTTAACGTCTGCTTTTTCAGTGTGGATACCTTTTATTTCACCTGCTTCCTAATTGTCCTGGCTAGAACCTCTGACACAGTGTTGAATAGAAGCGGGAAGAGCGGACATCCTTGTCCTGTTCCTGGTCTGGGGAGAAAGCTTTCAGTTGTCCACTGTTACGTGTGACGGTAGCTCTGGGTTCTCAGAGATGTCTTTTATCGGTTGAGGAAGTTCCCTTCTACCTCGAGTTTGTTCAGTTTCCTTGCTTACCAGGGATAAATCCCAATTGGTTACCATGTGTAATTCTTTTTTATTTATTGCTGGATTTGATTTGCTAGTGTTTTGTTGAGGATTTTTATGTCTATTTTCATAAGAGATATTGGTCTTTGATTTTCCTTTCTTACAATGTCTTTTTCTGGTTTTGGTATCAGGGTAATACTGGCCTCATAGGATAAGTGGGGAAGTATTCCCACTCTTCTGTTTTGGGGGGAAGAATTGGTGAAGATTAGGTATTTTTTAAATGTTTCGTGAAATTCACCACAGAATCCATCTGGGCTTCGGCTTTTCTTTGTTAAAAAGTTTTGTTTAGCTTACTAACTCAATCTCTATTTTCTTGAGTTTTGGTAGTTTGTATCTTTCTAGGAATTTCACTGCTTTAGCGGCATACCCTAAGTTTTGGTATGCTATTTCTTCATTGTCATTCGTTTCAAAGTGTTTTCTAATTTCTTTTGTAATTTATTCTTTTATTCATTAGTTATTTGGGAGTGTGTTGTTTAATTTCTACATACTTGTGAATTTCTCAAATTTCTTTGTTATTAATATCTAATTTCATTCCATTGTAGTCAGAGAACATACTTTGTATGATTCAAATCCTTTTAAATTTATTGAGGCTTGTTTTATGGCCTAGCATATGGTCTATCCTGGAGAATATTTCATATGGTCTTAAAAGGTATATGTATTATGCTGTTGTTGAGTAGAGTGTTCTCTGTTACAGTTCTAGCTGGTTTATACTGTTTTTCAGGTCTTCCATTTCCTTGTAATCTTCTTCCTAGTTCTATCCATTATTGAGAGTGGGATATTGATATATCCAATTATTGTTGTTGAATTCTCTATTTCTCCCTTCAGTTCTTTTAACTTTTTTTGTGTGTGTGTGAGGAAGATTGGCCCTGAGCTAACATCTGTTGCCAATCTTCCTCTTTTTGCTTGAGGAAGATGGTCTCTAAGCTAACGTCTGTGCCAGTCTTACTCTACTTTTTGTATATGGGACACTGCCACAGCATGGCTTGATGGGTCCCATGCCTGGGACCCAAACCTGTGAACCCTGGCCCGCCAAAGTGGAGTACGCGAACCCAACCACTATGCCACTGGGCTGGCCCCTAATTCTTTTAACTTTTGCTTCATATATTGTGGGTCTCTGTTGTTAGGTGCATAAATGTTTGTCATTGTTATCCACTTGATGGATTGACACTTTTATCATTATAAAATGCCCCTCTTTATCTCTTAACATTTTTTATTTTAAAGATATTATTATAGCCACTCCAGCTTTCTAATTGTTGGTTCTGTGCTATATTTTATATCTTTTTATGTTTAACACATTGTATCTTTGAGTCTACAGTGTGTCCCCTTTAGACACTGTAGTTGGATCTTGTTTTGTTTTGTTTCTTTTCCGGTTTGACAATCTCTGCCTTTTCAGTGATTGTTTAATCCATTCACATTTAATGTAATGTTATCTGACATAGTTGGCTTTATATCTGCCATTTTACTTTGTGTTTTCTATATGCCTCGTATCTTCTTTGTTCTTCTATTCCTCCATTACTGGGTTTTTTTTTTTTTTTGCATTAAGTA